CGCCGCAAGCGCAGCCCGCCGGCGCGCCGGGTCGCGCGGAAAGGCGGGGGTCTCCGGCGCGGGCGCGTCCGTGGGCCTGAGGCCCAGGTCAAGCCCTCCGGTCCCGAAGGACCCGGCGGCGGCAGGCGGGACGGCGGGACCCCTGGGGACGCAGGCTGGGGAGCTGGCGCTGCTCCGGGCGGGGGTAAAACCAAAATCAGAAGGGGAGGGGAGGCGACAGAAATGGAGCTTCTAGAAACTCCCTTTCGAGGCACCAGCTGGGCTGTTTAACAAACCCGCACAACGCCTGGGAAGACGAAGCGTGACACGTCTTCCTCGCAAAGGCCACCCGGGCGCGAAGTACAGGGTGCCCCTCGAGTTCAGTCAGCGCCCTCAGCCGCCCTCGCTCGGCTTCCCTAACCCGAGCAGGACACGGGCGGGAGCTGGTTTCTAGGCGCGGTTGGCAAAATGAAATCGGAGGAATTGGGACTTGGGTTCTTTGCCTCCTCCTCAGCTTCACGGGGCTTTGCATATAAGAATACGAAAATCATGGCTTGTAGCTCCATCTCTTCTGCACCTGCTCCCTTCTTCATTCCATGTAGCTCTTGTTCATCTTCTCAGCCTCATTTTATTAGGTGCTAATCAGACCAGATATAGTAGATTCTTGGAAGCCAGCAGCACCAGTCACCAAGGGCTGTTTGGTTCATTTCTATCTTCCAGGAGTTCAGGGAACTGCGGGGATTCCTCTGGGGCCAGGTGAAGGGAAGACAACATTGCCAACTCCTGGCCCATACATATAAAATAGACCCATACCAGCACCTCCTACGTACATGTCCATGCGTGAGTGTGAATATGCAAGTAGCTGTAGAACCACATATACATGCAAAGCGCCCCTTCTGAGATGCTTCGTGGAGACTTGTGTACAAGGCAAGGGCAGGAAATTGTTAGAGCTCTGTGCTTCTCATTAACGCACACAGTTACCTTAGCAAGGCTTCAGGACTGAATTCATTTTAAGAGGTTGTTGACTTTTCGAAGTGGGCCTTTATCATCAGGAAAGTACATTTTAGGCTAATGGAAAGCAGTTTAAATTTGGCAAATCCTTGATAGTTGGGGGTGGGATAGTCACGGTATTATTTTTTAAATTTTGAATAGATATTATATATCTCCTTGTTATGCATTATCATCCAACAGCTCCTAGAACGTGCTGCTCAGACTGCCCTAAACAAGGTGTAAAGCAAGCAATTTGGGGCAGTGAAAGTCCATTGTTCCTAAATGGACAAGTGTGACATCATATTATGATAATATGACTACTCTAAGATACATGGGTTTAAGTTTTCACTCAGGAAGTCACTCTATGACTATAAGCATGATTTAAACTGCCTCTGTGGTTCTAAGCAGGAGTCCTACAGACCTTCCCACCGAATGACATTTTTGGAAGAGTGATGTCAATTACTAATGGTAGGGGCTGGGGAGATGGCTCAGTTGAATAAGCACTTCCCTGGCAAGAGCAAGGGCCTGAGTTCAATCCCCAGTTCCAGAAAAAAAAAAATTATTAATGGTAACCCACTTGTTCCAGCTAGTGGAAGCACACGTTATTTTCAGAATTAAAATATATCATAGCACACAGTTAATGCACACCGAGTGCGTTGTATTATACGTGGAATGAAGTGAATCCTGCATCCTGTTCCCAGCATTATCAGTGAAGGCCTTGTTGCAGATATTTAATTAGTGTTTGTGGAATAAATTAATTAATTGACTCTTCAACGTGTAAAATGTGTCCTAGGCTCAGAAACCAGTCTTTAAGCATGACCTACACACTGGCACGATCATACTGACACACAGTGTCCAAGGCCAGGGTACAAGAACAGATTTGGTCGCTACCCTGTCGCTTGCACACTCTGGAAACCGCACCAAGGTGCTCAACCTCTTTTACTTTAGTTTGTGCCCAGCAGAGCAGATTCTAGTGTTTACTCTGCAAGTTTGACATGAGGGTTGACTCATTCTCATTGAGTCTGGCATGTTCAGAAGCACCTGGAGAGTGCTTGTGTTCTAAAAATTATAACCATAAATACATCTAACTTACTGTAACTCATTTCATTTCAGTATCTACCACCTGTCACTTCCTTCTCACTTTATGGCCTACAAATTACACAGGTTTATTCATATTTCTCTAACTATGTACATTTTATAGAAATTTTGCACAGTCTATCCACCCTTTTAGATGTTATCTCAGGAAGAAGATTTTCTTTCAAAATTCTAATGTCTCCATTATTTGTTCAGTTAATGATGGCCAAAGGATGTTGTTGATTGATTTATGATTGACTAGTGCCTGATACTGAAATTCAAAGGGAATGTTGAAACTTACATTATAAGAAATGAACTTACATTATAAGAATATGAACATGAAATCCCTTCCATGAATATTTAAACAGACTGGTTATTCACAGAAATGCCTCAAGGTGGATGAGAAAGCCTGAGTTATATGCCCTAAGGCTGCTTATTTGCCCTTCTGAAACCTGTGCTTCTTCTGTGGTAAAAAGAACTTTTTTTTTTCTATCCTCTGATTAATTTTTCCAGATACACAAGACCCTGTAAACTACCTGGTCAGAAGAAGGCACTGATTTACTGAACTTCTTCACTTTATTTTCTGTTAATTCATTTATTTCCAAAAATACATCTTTTCAACTGCAAATAATCATTTGAAATCCTGCCCTAATTTCTCTCTCTCTCTCTCTCTCTCTCTCTCTCTCTCTCTCTCTCTCATACCGGGGATCAAACTCAGGACCTTGTGCTTGCCATGTGCTGCTGAGCTATCTCCCTGGCTTAAATTTCATTCAAATTTCTGGCTCTTTCTATATTAAAAACAGAACTGTTGGTATTTAATCAACTTGAATACAGATTAATTTATTTGATTTATTTATTTATTTATTTATTTTTGTATTTTAGGACTGGGCCTAAGGGTCTACAGGGTCTCTCTGCATAGATCAGACTCACAGTGATTATCCTGTTTACAACCTCCCAACTGCTGGGGTTATAGGCAGAGCATGACAAACAGTCTTAATCACCTTCTCAACACTCCCTGGGGGTGGGACCGGCATGGCATGCCTGGGGAATCAAGCTCCTAGCCCCTGATTCTGCCTAAGCAGGTACTTTAATCCACTGAGCTATTTGGCCAGCCCTTAATTCTTAATTTAATTTAATTCTTCAGCACATCATTGTGAGCTCCATTATATTATAAAGATTAGCTCTTTTAGCCAAACACTGTCCTGTCCTTCAAACTCCCATCTCAGCTCCCACTGTTGCGAATTTTTTCAGTATTTATATTAATTTATATGCTCATGACTTAATCACTCTCACTCCCACCATGTATCTTTATGGTAAAATGCTGAAATGTGGTAAAGTATCATGGGAATTCCAATTAATTTCCATACTTCTCTTCCCTGTAATACTAGGTCCCCCAGTAAGAGTTAATAAGACAATAGAGCTGCATGCAAAGGTACAGCACTTGTTCAAAAGGTTTCTATTTTCCTGAAAAGACAAATGTACAGAATGTGCAAGTGGGGGGGGGGCTTAGGAGGGGACTTTTATCTGGACTTATGTGTAAACATAAGAATTATATAATTCTTTATGCCTATTTTTAAAATACATTTTAATTTTTAAATGTGTTTTCATCATATTCTGTAGGGACTTAAAGTTCAACGTATCAATACTTGATGAAAAATACCTGTTCCATATTATGCCTAATATGTTTGATATGCAGACAGATAGTGAGGTTAAGCTTAACAGCCTAAGTTGTATGGTAATAACAATAAGCTTGTCTTCTGGATGGTTAGCAACCTAAGTTTGCAGACCAAAATTAAAGAAAAAGGAGGGCTGCAAGGAAAGCCAACATTTTGGCCCTAGCCTTCCAAGGTCAATTAAGACTCAGGACATATGAGATCTTGTACTATAACATCATGTAACTTAGTAGTATCCCAAGTTTTCTGATCAAGGAGATTATGGGGTCAAAGAGGAAAGTGACTGATGATGTGGAGTGTGCCTAAGGAGAGTCACATGGAGAGAAAACATTCTCTCAGGCCTTCACAGAGAGTACATTGGCCAAGCAATGACCATGACTCATCCACATGGCTGACACTGACAAAGGATCTACAATCTGAGGTACAGGATCTCAGGATAAATCCTGAGAGGATTTCACTGACCCTGTCAGATCCAAAAGCTACCACTCTTGTTGCATAGGTCTTGCTTTATCTTGGTCTTAACTATCCAGCAGAAAAGTATAAAAACAAAATATAAGAAGTAAAGCCATGCTATTATGTTGAGCTGTAAGAGACTCAGGTCAACAATTTCTGACATTGCCCGTGAAGCAGAAGACCTAATACTATTATGGACTACTGGTCTCTTTTAGAATATTTTGCTGAGTTAACACACCTATAATATTCAAATAACGAAACTTAACAAAAAAGGGGATACAGATGAATGTCCATTTTCCATCTGTGTATTCAAAATGGTTAGGATAGATATATAGTTACATTCTCTTAATGAATAGAGGCATTTGTTCTAATAGTGTTTATAAATAGAATATCATGTCCGCCTCTTGTACAGCAATTAACCACTAGGAAGAATGTATGCAATGTGTTAATTATTGAAACTGTCCCACCAAGTTGGTTTGAAACTGTCTCATTGCTATTTGTTTCTCAATAAAATTATGAAAAAAATGGTTAGGATAGATATATAGTTACATTCTTTTAACGAGTAGAAGGATTTGTTGTAATAGTGTTTGTAAATAGGATATTGTGTCTGCGTCTTGTATGGCAAATAACCATGAG